AGTGAAGGCTGATGCAAAATATTGAAAAATGTGATTTCCTTATTTTCCATCATAATTCTCCACCCACAATTTCTGTTGGAACAATATTCACTTTGTTAGTACTTTTCTTCTTTAATTATTTATAGAAAGTGTTACAATCAATTTTATGGTTCTGGCTTACTTTCTGTCATTCTCTAAAATTTCCCTCTTTATTGATTTTTTTTAGTTCTTTTTTAATAGAATGGCTACTCTTCTGTCCTAACATGTATCTTGGCACATTCTTTTTTCTCTTATAGTTCGATGCTATCTATAACACTTCTCATTAATCATAGAAGATGGCTCCATCTCTTGAAATTTTCTACTTGTTGAAATATACCTTTTCTTTTTATTCTGAAATAATCCCTTAAATGTCTGCCTCTGCCTTTCTATAGGCCTATCCTTGAAGCAAGTTTGCTAATGACTTTTGACTGCTCTGCTTTCCTGCCCTTATAGTTCCTTTCAAACAAATTTTAAAAAATAGTGTTGGACCTGTTTTTCTCTCCTTCAAATTGAAAGTAAAATTCAATCATTATATGGTGACTGCTACCTCGAGGTGCTTTTACTGTAGTATCATTCATTCATTCATCACAATGCATAACACCAGACCTAGTTTAGCCTGTTGTTTGGTCGATTCCAGAACATGCTGTTCTAAGAACTGAAACCATTCTATGGATTTCTCATCTAGTATACCTTTACCAATTTGAGACTTCCGGTCTGAATGTAAATTAAAATCTCCCATGATTATCACCATGTCTTTCTGACAAGCTGTCATTATTTCTTCCTTTCTGCCCGACATTATTTTTATGTGGCCTGTACACGAGTCCCACAAGTTTTATCATTTTTCATTATACTGGTTCTACATCTTGGTTTCCTGGGCTTAGGCTAATCACTCAAAGGAGGGAACAAGCCAGCCCCTTGAAGCATACCACTGTATAAACATTCCCATTGCCAGGTTTGCATTGGGGGGATGGGGTAGTGGATTATTTTTGTTTTTGGTTAATAAACATATGACATCACATTGAACTCCATGTTAGAAATGTAGCATAACATTGCAAGTCTATATGCAACTTATTATTGCACTGCTTCTGGAGTCACCATTACCGTGTCTAAAGAGTGCTGAGTGCCACCTTTCAATCCTCAAGGAAATAAATCAATCCAAAAAAGATGACTTGGTAGCTGTAGCAAGAGAAAGAGATTTTTTTGTTTTTACATCACTGGACACTACTCACTGTTTAAGTGGAATGATAAGTTTGCTCACAGTGCACTATGGTCCAAAACCTCACTACACTTCCACTTGTTTAGACTTTGCCCCTTCTAGCCTGAAGCCTCTTGAAATTCCAAGCTCCCATATTACAGGATCCTTCCTGTTCTTGCATGTCTGTTGCTGGATGCATCATTTGATTGTTCCTAACTTGGAAATTCACAGCAGCTGCTCACTATCACCTAAAGTTATTTATTTTGTTCCACTAAAAACTGAGCTGTATTGCCCCGAAAAGATTGGTCCCAGTAGAGGTTCCAGAAATAAGTTCTAGAGGTCCCAGGTTTGGAGGTCCTGGCAAGACAATGAATTCATTTGCTAGAAACAGCAAAATTAGTGGACTAGTGTCGATTGAGTGGTACATAAAAGCCAATCTTTATCTTTCATAGCACATCATAGGTCCAACCTGGCTTTGAAACTTAGGTTGCTTTTGTCTCATCACTCTGTCTTGACGCTGAATGATAATATATACGTCAGTTGACCTTAATCCATAAGCACCACGTTATTAAGGGAAAGAGGCAAAAGAACATGAGGAGAATTATGATGATGACATTTATTTTCTACTGGGTAAAGGGATCAAGGGACAAAAAAGGGTGAAAACATATGCAGCTATTCATACAAAAGCAAAATATCACTGATGCTGAAAACCTGAAATAAAAACACAAAGTGTTGAAAAACCTGCTAAACTCGGCAAGCCTGTTAGCATCTGAGGAGACAGAAACAGCTAGTATTTTGAATTCAATTTACTTCTTTAGAGCTGAAGGGAGGTCGGAGCCAGGCTGCCTCCATTTGGTTCCAATGCAGTGTCATTTTAGTTTCAAAATGTTTGTCTCAACCATGATACAATTGAATAATGCAGCAACCTTGATGGGCTAAATTGTCTACTCCTGCTCCTATGATGTTGAGGAGACAAAAGTCCTTTTATCTTGTCAATTGATAATGACAATAATGATGATGAGTAGAAGGATGAGGATGAACATCCAATTTCTTGTTCCTCTATTGTTCTTGTCTGGTCTATATTAATTTAACATCCTTGCCATCCTTACTTCTTCCTTGAATTAACGTGAAAGGAATTAAGTAGCAGGAATAAGGAAATATCAACTAACTCACTGAGTTTGAAGGCGATGGAAACACAAGATGTAGACGGGAAAGGGGCCATTCCTCAGCAAAGGATATAGAAATAGTTTCCTAAGCTGAGAAGCCAGCAGGCTCAAATCTCTTAGACATTCCTATGAAGACATATATTGTGCACATGCATCAAGATATGCTTGGTCACTGAACAGGATATTGACTCAAGTCATCTTGTCTCATGTGCATCCATATTAGGGAAAGGTTTTCCTTCTGTCAGACATTGACAAAGTATGTATCAACCGTATTTTCCAATCCTACCCTCCCCACCCCTCACCATAACAGTGTCCAAAACAAGTTTGTACCTTATCTTGTTACGACTGTACAGGCGATTGCTAAGGCTGCACTTGAAGAACTGTGTACAGTTTTGGCCCACATATGTAAGAAAAGATATCCTGGCACTACAGGCAGTTCAAAAGGGATTTACTAGGTTAATTCCTGGGATGAAAGGGTTGACTTATCAATGATGGTCAAACAGGGTGAGCCTTTATTTATTCAGTTTAGAAAAATGAGGAGTGATCTTATCGAAACAGAAAAGATTCTGAAGATGCTTGACAAGATAACTGTTGAGAAAATGTTTCCACCAGTGGTGGAATCTCAAACTAGGGGACGTGGTTACTGAATGAGGAGATGTTCATTTAAAATGAAGATGCAAAGGAATTTCTTCTCCCAGAGGGTAGTAAATGTCCGGTAATCTCTACCCCAGAGAGTTGTGGAGGCCACATCACTGGAAGTATACAAAGAAGAGATAGATAGATTTTTGAAATATCGATGAGTTGAGGGTTATGATAAGCTCACATGAAAGAAAAAGTTGACCTGGAACAAATCAGCCATGATCTTGTTAGATGGATGGACAGGCTTGAAAGCTTGAATGGCTTACTCTTGCTTCCATTCTTATATTCTTATCCTCATTATAAGGACAGATGTCAGCAGTTAGAAACTGGGTGACCTGTTCTTTTAACTCCTTTTGTGTACTGTTTTATGATGCATTGCATGAATTGGTTAAATGATGATGACCAATGTGTGGTTTGTCAGTGTCTCCCAATGCCACTGATTGGATGAAATTCCCTGACTACAAATATATGTTACAAAATAAACCACTACTAAACCAGTGTAAATGAAATGCAAGCATCATGATGAACATAGTATTTCTGTCAGAATACTTCTGATATATAATGACTGCTCTTTATATTTTGAGCATTAATTATATCCTATAGTTTTCACCATCCTCTTTCATTATATGCTGTAGACTTTCCTTAGCAACTGATCATTTTCTACATTTTATGTACTAATTCTCAAGCAATCATGAGATCACAAATCCAGGTCTAAATTTCCAACATATGCTCCCAAAGTGGAGCAAAACTTAACAAAACATATCTGCATATTTAATATTCCTTGGATTAAATTTACTTTTAATATATGGAAGCAGTGTACTTGAACAACTTTGATCAACTGTAGTGCACAAAATGACAATTAGCTCAGCACAGCAGTACAAAAAATGAACATACGATTCTTAATAGACTATCACCAGACAATTTTGATCACAATTTGAGAATAAAATTGAATGCACACAAATCTTGATTGCAGATTGAGTCAATACAGGTCAAGTCTAGGCCCAAGTTTTGATCAGTGACCAAATAGCGTCATAAAGCTGTTGCCTGTCATTACTACCACTGCGATTGAATTCTCTGACATTTGAAATCAGAAGACAAATTTAACTCAGTGTAAGGAAGAAACAGCAGAATATCAGGGGCCCTGAAAAATGAGGCCTTGGAGATTTTCCCAAAACTGGAAACACTCACAATCAAAATTCACTGAAAGATCACTGGGACCCACCGAAAGCACCCAAAAAGTAAGTACAGAATGTGAACTTGCTAGGAGGAACAGAAATGTTCATTATTCATTAGTGTGAGCAAAACATGAGAGATAAGAGCCCATAGTAATCTTTTGGGCAAGAAGGGGTTCTCTTTTTAGTGGTTGAAAAGCATTTAGTTATTTCTCTGGGCTTCATGTGGCCTTCTTTTTCAGTGTTGTCATTTTTGACTGGCAGGTTTGAGACCTTGTGGCATTTAGCCATGTCTGCTGATAAAATGGTACACATGTCTGATGACACCACTGAGTCATGACTTTGCTACTTAAATTAGGATCCTGCTTGCCAGAGCTGGTGGTCCATGCCTAATGCCGGGCTGGTTAACATGCTGGGGAATATCTTAGAATTGTCATTTTGTGCACTATAGTCGATCAAAGTTGTTTAAAATTTCCAATTAGTTTTGAAGACAGTTGAAAATGGCAGTCAATATTATCTTTAAAAAGTAAAACTGGAACAATTTTTAGTTATTTAGGAGCAAACAATGGCACACACTCAATGACACCTGTAAACAATATTCTGTCACCTACTAATCATTAGTTGAAGATTAATGTCCAGAAGTGTCAGCTTTTTCTTGATATTTAGTTACTGTTTAGCCAAATACAAATTTTCATCAAATTAGTATTTCAATTTAAGTTCATAATAGTACATCATAAAGCTTTAAAATAAAGAAGACACCCTTTCATAAGGAATAAGCTCTTGATAAATAAAGAAGTGTTTAGTACTCACAAGCTGGTGTAGAGCAATCCCTTGTGTTATAATAGAGGCGGTGAAATTGCTTACTGCATTCAGATGAGAATGAGATTGGTCCTGCTTGATAATTAGTAGAAGTTTTATAAGATTAGTTCAGTCACAGGAAATGTGTTATTTTAATACATCTTGATTAATTTAGTACAAGATATTGACTATATTCCTACCTGCAAAATGCTTTATGAACTTTTCTTTTGCATTAGGGTCTCTATGGACAACCTCTGTGAAAGAAAATTAAAAGATGATCACGTTGCTCCTTCTTATGCTCTTATCTGAATAATAATTGTAATATATTTTGTATAAGTATACATTGATGGAAAAAATGCATGACGCATATTTTCATTATCTCAAATATCAAAAGTACATTTTTGAAAAAAAAACTGGTTGCTTTTCACAAAGTCACTTACACTGAGGCTATTGTCTGAGACCTATCTGCTTTAAAGAGTCGCCATTCAAATTGGAAACCCATGGATCTTGACTTACAAAATGGAAACTTTAAATGCTGGAAATCTAAAGTAAAAAGTACTAAATAAAGCCCAATTGTTCTGACAGAGGGTTTCTACCAAAAATGTTAACCTGTCTTCTTATTGAAAGATACTGGGTTACCTGTGTAGTTGTAGCATTTTCGATGTTTTACTAATATTCTTGATTATTTGTTGTATCTTTAAAATGAATTCATTGTATGCTTGAGATTTTTCTTCTAGTTATGGACATATGAATAAGGGAAGTCATGTTGTTAATTTAATGATGTGGCTGTTAGAATGTTTTATTTTGGTTACCCAATTTATCCCTAATTTTGGACCAAGTTCATTGAGATAAAGTCTCCATCTGACTGATGAAAAATAAGAATTTCTAATGAACTCCAGAGTACATGAAAACCATGAACAGCAAGTGCCTTCTCTAACCGTTTCTACCCATAAACTCACACATGTATTGGAGAGAAGTCAACAAATAGATATGGCAATTCACGAGTTTTTGAGATCAGCAATATTCTATTGATCTTCATATCAGAAAAAAATATATAGGTCAGCCTAAAAAACAAATGATTTTTAACTAGATGGGATTGGTTAGTACTGCTGCCTCACAGCGCCAGGGACCCGGGTTCAATTCCACCCTCGGGCGACTGTCTGTGTGGAGTTTGCACATTCTCCCCGTGTCTGCATGGGTTTCCTTCGGGTGCTCCAGTTTCCTCCCACAGTCCAAAGATGTGCAGCCTAGGTGGATTGGTCATGCTAAATTGCCTGTAGTATTCAGGGATATGTAGATTAGATGGGTTATAGGGGGACGAGTCTGGGTGGGATGCTCCAAGGGCCGGTGTGGACTTGTTAGGCCAAAGGGCCTGTTTCCTCACTGTAGGGATTCTAAAAAAGTTAATTCATAAGTTGCAAGGGAAAAAATGAATATCTAACTAAGCTGAAGTTATTCAAGTACTTTGTAAAGTTATTTAAAACTTTGTAATTGCTTTCTAACAAAGGGATATTTTTAGCATCATGTCTCATACATATAGGAAATGGTAAATAACTACCATGGTTATTTCTACAATTTCAGTCTCTCTGAAGTGACAATTGATGCACTGTCATTTCTGCTTTCTGATCCAAAATATAATCATGACAGTTGCATAAAACATTCATATATATTTAGCCTGCCAATACTGAAGCAAAGTTGCAAAACTCTAAACATATAGATTTGGAAATCATCACAACCATGCAAATGTTGGTATCAACTGCAAAAGCCTTTAGTCACTAACTTCAGAAGAGATTGGAACAGGGATCAATAATTGCCTGCTGGATCCAAAATTTTACACAATTTTGGATCGGTTTGGTTTTTAGTTTTATTGTTTTTGTTTCTACAAGTCATACTGAGGACAAAGAAGTAATCTTATGAGCAAATTATTGCAGATGCTGGAATCTGTACTGAAAACAAAAAATGCTGGAGATCACGGCAGGTCAGGCAGTATCCATGGACAGAGAACAAGCTAACTTTTCAAGTCTAGAGCCAGATCTCTGATGAAGAGTCATCTAGACTCAAAATGTTTGCTTCCTCCCTCTCCATGGATGCTGCCTGACCCGTGGTGATCTGCAGCACTTTTTGTCTTCAAAAAAGCTTTCTTACTATTCTGAAATTAGTCAATAGAGGGCAGTATTGTTGTAAATTAATATTGTGAATGATAGCTTTCAAGCTGTTGATAAATATAGTCATCAGTTCATGTACGGTGTATTTGGAAAAATTGATTAAAGGAAGGAATTTTGTTTTTTTTAAAATCCAAAGATGTCCAGGTTAGATGGATTGGCCGTGCTAAATTTGTCCATAATGTCTAGGTAGATTAGCCAAGGGAAATGCAGGGTTACAGGGTCAGGGTAAGGGGTTCAGTCTGGGCTCGATGCTGTTCGAAGGGTTGGTGTGGACTCGATGGGCAGAATAGCTTGCTTCTATTATTCTATGTAATGTAGAACTTCTGCAGCTGTACAGCCACTGGCCTAGCTATGTCAGAGCAGGCAGGTGGGACTAAGTTTAGTTTGGGATTGTGTTTGGCATGGACTGGTTGGACTGAAGGGTCTGTTTCCATGCTGTATGACTCTGTGACTCTATGTGGTGCCCATACCCAATTCAATATACCCTGTTCAAAATAATTTATGTGGGTGCAAGCAGAGAGGGAATAACTGGGTTTCCAACAAGCAACACTATCCCCATCTGCCTCCTCTTTGTAGCCAGAATAAAAAGCAACAGGACAAAAGTGCCCAGTATTCCTGTTATCAGAATATTTCACTATGAGAAAAGAGGACAGAAAATTGGGTGTATTACAGACCCCACCAATCATCCCTTTTAGCCTTCACCCAAGTTCAAGAATTTCATGATTAAACACTCTTTGAAATCACAATTTTCTTAAATACAGATATGTCTCCATTAAAACAATAGATCAAAGGTTTTTGTACAACATCAAGTTTTATTTTATTGTAACTAAACTTGCTGTTAGATTACACAGTTAATCTGTGAGTTCAAATTACAGTGCCAGCATTCAACCACATCCCAACTGTCTCGGCAACTGATAACACTCATCTGCCTACTGGGAGAAAGTTCTATTCTTTGGAAAATTTTGTTTGCTCAGGGATAAGCAGAATTCCCATATTTCTGGATCTGAGCTGCAAAATGGGATAGGATCTGGTTCTATTCCACATTTTTTATTTTTCATGAGTTCAGCTAAACATGCTAAAATGACTCTGTCAGATGTACTGGAGTTCCTTTAGGGCATTTTAATGCAAAGAATAATTGAAAACAGGTTATTTGTGAAGTTTCAGTAACTATGAATTTGAAAACTAAATTTAACCAAAGTTCCCATTTAACAAAACATAACATTGAAGCAATAATAACAAATCCCAGCTCAAAATGTGACACTTGCTTGATCCCAACTTGTTGTGCTTTGTCCTAAGCTTGGATTTATTGCTACTGTATGCTGTTCAGTAAATTTATTTTCCAGATTATACAATAAAAATTATAAACTGTACCAACTGTTAAATGTCCAACATAAGATCTTCACGACAGGTCCTTTTCAAACAGGATAATTCCTACTTCTATGAGTGAACACTTTGTAATTGTGTTCAGAATTTACATTATCTGACTTTCAAATCGTCTCCTGTCATGATCACAAGCAGACCACTGAGGTGCACGCAGATGAAATAATTTGTCCTGTAGACATGGAGCACATGACCCTGCCGTGGGTCTACACTGTTTCACAAGCTAAACGGGGACAGCTTTCATTTTATTTGTTTTATTTTTGGCAAAGGAGCACCACATACAATATTTTTAAAACTTGTAATAAAATCCAGAATTATACATTTGACCTGTTTTAAGACGCACAAGACAACATGGAGATCAAAAACAACAAAAATGTGTCTAAGTCACTAACCGCGACTTCTTGCGAAATGTATTAATAAATATTGGCACTGATGTTTGAACTGCACAGACGAAAAACATCATCTGATTTCAGGTCAGGCAGGACCTGACGGGTAGAACCGTAACGCATGTGTTGTGATTCTACAGTACAAGTACAAATATTTATTTCAGGCTGCAGAAACAATAATTAACTCATCCTGGCGTGTTTTGATGCCATTCCTAATGAACAAAGTGCCCGCGGTTGTATTTTTATACCTACTATTATGAGTGGAATGATCCAAACACTTCCACATACTCAAACATGATAACCCGGGATTAAAGTCTTAGTGTTGAGAGGCGGAGGACACCGCGTGTAACAGAGACATAAGCAATCAGGCACCTACCCTTTCAGCTCTTACCTATTGGTTTGTCCAACCTCGGGACAAACGCGGCTTTTTCTTTCGTGAAGTGCTTGTAGTCTTTGTCGAAGGCGTATAAAGTGCTGTATCGTTTGGCTATTTGCCTGTCCCCGTGATTGCTGTCTCTCATGCCTTGTAAAATGAGATCTAGAGGTGATTGTCTCGCTTTCTGCCTCGATTCTGCTCTGCCTTCACAGTGTCCCACAGTGACCAACAAAAGCACGATAGCCAGCAAGGTGTGCCAATTTCTTTGGCCCATCTCTAGATAAAAGAGAGGTCGAGAGAAGATTAACATTTCTTTCAGAAGCTTTTTGGAGTGCAAAGACAATCACGAATTCTCTCCTAATCCTGCCAGACAGCCTGCTGACCGAAACAATGTTCAGTTTTGCCCAGGGGTGGGTTAAATCCGAAGTAGCGGAGCACAAAGTGAACCAGATTTTTTTTTACATAAGACTGCTTAAATCAAATCTAAACCTTCTCATTACGGGATGAGGTGGTGTCACAAGGACAACTCAATCTCCACATTCCTGAGTTTTTATCCGGTTCTACATCATGCGAGCTGTCGCTCTGACCCTCCCCGTAACACTTGCTTCGTTCCAGATTTAATATCTGGTGAGCTCACATTTATAGACATGGATTAAGAAAGGTACTGCCAAAGCAGCACATTGAAATCCAGGCTTTAGTTCAGATCTACTTTGCACACATCTTTGGATCGATCCATTTAACAAACTAGAGGAGGTTTCTCGGGGTTAGAAACGCTTGTAAAAACGACGCGAAATTTACACGGGAAATCACAGTGTAATTTTAAATATTTACGTGTTGCCTATGCAGAGTATGCATCCCTCTGTGTAACTGTTCTTTCGCCGTTCGAATATTTCATTCCAAAGTCATACGTTACATGAAGTGGCTCAAAGTATTTTAAAATTTAAATTGAAAGCCAAATTTTTTTCAAATCTATCTATATATAAATCAGCCATTCGAGCATTTCACCCAGTCCTTGGAACTGCTGTAATATATGTACATATACACGTATATCGCAAGCTCACCTGCATATCAAAGAAATTGTCTTGGGCTACTGTCAACTTTCTTCCGAAGAAGAATAAAATGACTCAAAAAGGTATTCCAGTGTTTTCAAATTACTCGTTTGCACTAAGTAGATCCAATGGTTCGAAGGAAAATGCACAATATTCTGCATTCATCCATCCACAGACCAGGCTTATATACACGAACCAACTGTTATTTCAATATGATCCTATTGACTTTAGGTGGGTGGCAGGCAATGAAAACATCTCCTGGTAATCTCCCTTCAAAAGTTCCCGCTGGCACACGTCCTCTTTCTCCCGGTGGGCTGTCATTGAGGGCCATCAATTAGGATCGATCTGAAGTCTTCTGCAAATTGAGATTTCCCCAAGAACAGGAAATGCCTGTCTAGTTACTTGCAAATCTGATCAAGCGCGGCTGTGTCGTGTTGTGCAAGGATTATGTTCACAATTTTGGGATTCCCTTAAAGCTGCTGACGTCAGAGATGTCTGGTGGAGCCGGCAGAGTTTTCAGCAATTTTAAATATGAGACCAATCTGCAAGTAACAAAGGAGGTTCACTAAATAAGGACAATAAGTCTTGGAATTATGAACTAGGACTGTACTTAATTTTAAACGATCTGGGGAATCCTTGATAAGCTACATTGATTACAAGTTTACAACTTCAGTGAAATAAGTTTCTCTATCCGCTAAATTTAGCCTCCGAACAACGTGTGCTAATACAAATAAAACCATTCAGCCCAACGAATGAAATCAGTTTTCTTCTGAAATTTCACCTCTTCAATAAATTCGTCTTGCAAACATTCATAAATGTTGTTGGTGTAAATTAGTTTGTTAATGGCTTGAAAACACAGTTTGCCTAACTGCTGCTCAATTGCAGTTTACCAGTTAGGCTGAATAACAAATTCATCTCCAGCAATATAACTGAGAAACACTCCTGCAAACCTGAACTTAAACAGAAGTTGCTGGCAATAACTCTGCATCTTTGGAGGGAAAAAATAGATTTGTAATAATCCTAATTTGTGATCCCAACAGAGTCAAGACCCCAGTCGAAATGGGCATGGAATTTCACTCTGCTGGAGATTTGTCTTGATTTTCATCTTCGAGGCTGAGAGCTTGAGGTAGGATATTCCTCAGTCTCACACACCCAGCTCTGGAAAACTTGCCATATGTGACACAGTTTTCATTCTGTGGTGGGGGTATGTTTGGGATTGATTTGCTTGTCTTCTGCTACTTCTGTTACTTCAGTTGATGTTGTGCCAGCATCACAGACTAATGTCTGGATTTCACTACCATGAGCTGTTGAAATGATAGTCCTGATAATGAACAACCATGGAAACCAATCAGAGGTACAGGTGGTCCTAAATAAAAAGAATGGTATTTCACACCTAGGCAACTTCAATGGGTTACAATGTACTACAGTGTGTAAAATGAGCTGCATATCAGCTGAACTACACTGCACCCTCATCATGCATGGTCACCACAGTCACTTTGCCAGAGCTGTTATCTGTGTTTAAAGTTTCAGTGTCCATGGATGCCCCTGCAAAATTGTAGGACTAGCATCCTCAGGTAGGTCCCCACTGGGTCCCTGCCTCAAGAGGCTGTCTCCCATATTCCTCAATGCCCTGCAGTTAGATAGGCCAGTGGCCTGTGTCCACCTCCACCAATGGAACACAGAAAACACTATGTAGGTATGTTTGCAAGTGCAGGACAGCACAGTAGCCCAAGTACTGATGGGTTCACGTTAGTGTAATTTCTCACATTGCATATACATACATCTTCATGCCTTGACAGTGCATTCCATAATTTAAACAATGGATGTTTTGTTCTGTACTTACTGGGTCACACAGAAATTTACCAGATAAACATAAAACTGCATGTTCTTACAAGTGGCAATCAAGATTGCAATTTGATGTCCATCTCTCAGTCATGTGACACTATTGAACAGTGTGACCATGCATATCCATCAGAGGAAGGTCAGGATCACATTAGTACTCCAGTTCTGTTGGTAGTCTGCTCTTGATGTGGATGTTTTAAGTTCTTTAACCATTTGATTTCGATCCTTAAATGCCTTTGAGGAGGTTGTATTGTGGCCTTATTCTGCTGTGGTGGGGGAACAAACATGAGGCCTTGTAGACAGTCTATTTTGAAGAGCCTTTTAGGCTTGGCCCTCAGTCAATGACCCATCTAGCAGCAGCAGCATAATTGGCTGTCCCTCAATCTGAAAATTATGTCTAATCAGGGTCATTTGTTTCTTCCATGGTTCTTCATGTGACTGAACAGGCCAGTTCTCAGTCCACATATATTTGGGCACATATCCCATAAGGACTTGACGGAATTCAGAGTACAAGATTTGCTTTTTTTTCTTTTATTTGCTGCTGTCACTCTGTCTCATCTTTAAAGCATAAAATGCTGTGGACTGAAGTTGCAATACTGCTTGACAGAAAAGTTGTCACCATTTTGAATGATTGGCAGTAACCAGTTCCCTGACATTAATGGCAATCCTGTCATGCTTCAAGGAGAGAGTGGCATTGAAGCATTTTGTTTTGTCACACAAAAGCTGTTTAAAAAATAGGAACTGTCTTCCACAAATGGCATTGATTTGCATTCAGATTAATTTATAGCTAAGTTCTAATTTTCTATTATGGGGTTAGATGGGAATTATGAATTATGGAACATTATGGAATAGATGGGGCCATGGGACAAAGGTGGAGTTGAGTCACAGATCAGCATGATATCATTGGGTGATGGTGGAACAGTCTATAGGAAATAGCCAACCTACTCCTGTTTCTATGCATTAAAGTAAGGCAGAAATTATTTTCCACTTGTTCCACTTCATCTTCTACCTTTAACACTTGCATTATTAAGATATGAAGGATGCTAACTACTGTTGGAGCAGGTCTGGGATCAGAGTCAGGTGATAAATATCAATTTACAGCAAGAGCTAGCAAGAACTGCAGATGCTGGAGTCAGAGACATCACAGTATGGAGCTGAAGGAACACAGCAGGCCAGGCAGCATCAGAGGAGCTGGAAAGTTAACGGTTTGAGTTGGGACACTTTTTCAGAAAAGAAATACTTTTTGTGTCTACATTATTTTGTACTAGGCAGCAAGGTGTAGAGGTTAGGTATAGGAAAAATTGTTTTTTCTCAGCTATTTCCCTTTGTATAACTGGAGTCACTTTGTTTTGGGCCCCAATGTTACTTAGTAGAAATGAGGAGGATGGGAAAGAACTTCTGGATGCTAGGGAAGTGGGACAACATCATATGATCAACTCCCTTACCCAGTGTTAGCCACTTCCAATATAACTATATGGAACTTACTGCAAACTGATCATTTGATTCATAAGAGAGGGAGTCATAGAATTATCCAGTATGCTGTAGGATGACCATTGTCAAAGCAAGCATGGTACTGGAGATGACAACTCCCTTAAACATTTTTGACTCAGGCTCTTTTCAGATAGAACGTTTATACTGAATAGTCTTAGTGTAAGACACATGGATGATACCTGATTCATGACAATAAGCAAGTATATGATTTTCCCTACTGACAAAAGTAAATAATAGAGGAGACCATGGACTGAATTTTGCTACATTTTGGCTAAGTGTTAATTTTGGAGAATTTCTCACATAATTCTCAACTGTTCACCTTATTTACTATGCAGCCTACCTCCACAACGCTGTTCTCGCTCAACTTTGCATTCAGCAGTGGATGAAGAACTTGCAGGTGCTGGGATCAATAAACATTCACACCATATTTAACAGTTATGCAACAGTTGAAATCTTACTAGCTGCAAACTACCTTTCTCTGTGTATTACTAAATATTTGGAAAGGTTGTGTCAAAGAGAGGCAAATTGGCACCTTGCTTTGACAACAGGAACCTTGAGATTTTGGTGGATAGGGTGGAACAGAAGTGAGCAATCTATTGTCCCCATTACTGCCAAAGAAGACCACAATACCAGAACCTGCCAACCTAGTCCGAAGTAGCAATGAGGTGTCCACATTCCTGAGGAATGTGCAGCATTACTGTTAATGACCTGCTGTGGTCCACAAGGGTAAATACCACCATTTTTTTCTGCTACCTCATTTTTAATTCAACTCTGCTACTGTGGCCACATCCCACTAAGTCTCATGGTCTATCGGCCTCACTATTGCTTGCAGCATTTTCCCTCAATGGCTCTCAGTCACACAATCTCCCCACACCACTAACATTGCATGCTGTCTGCTCTTCCAACTCACTCACTCAGAACATCTTACCACTGACTCTACAACTAGCCTATACTAAGAGCTCTTCCGGCCACTTTCATCTCACTCAATCCCTTTCTTTATCTTGGTATAGGAGAAAAATGGATGGCAATAGGTTTGAGTGAGCAAGAAACAGGCAGCAGGTCTGCTGACCTTCATTACATCAGTCCATATAAGGAGATAATCTTTGAATTAGAGGGAT